GTATGTTTTTGAATGCAATTAGGGATGTTGGAAGTTGCTACTCCTGGTTTTCTGGGAGAGAAAAGTAAAGGAAATAATATCAATTTAATTTTTTCTAGATGCTGCAAGTAATATTAAATGGTGTGCTGCTTTGAAGGTGACAGTTTCTTCAATATAAGAACGGTAAAATTATAAATTAAATGGAGCGTACTGAATGCTTAGTGAGGACCATAGGAAATGCAAGTAGCGGTTTCGTCAGGAGATGTGAACAAAGATGATCTTCGTTGGGTAGTATAAAGATACCATGGAAGCTCATAATGGGGGCAATCAGGGGTGTAGTGGACCACCCAGAAATAGTGGACCTCTCCTTTGTTTTATTCCTATATTATGCAGAGAAGGCTTCTGTTGTAATCTTCCCTTATGTAAGCATTTAGAAAGTAATGTTTCCCCCTCAAGGGCTAACAGAAAGCCAGCGTCACATATGATTCTTTGTTGTTACTGACATTGGAAGTACTGGAGCGGTCATTTTGACCGCTAGCTGTTTTTAAGTGCAGCTTACTCCGCTCGTTTGCCAACTTAGGACATGTGCATTTTCGACCTTTCCTCTAAGTATTCAACATCCTGATACAACAGTAGACCCAGGGTTGCAAAATCAAAGGAGATGTAACACGTAATACCTAGAAGTATCGGAGCGGTCATTTTGAGATATCAATGTATTTGACTTTGCGAGCAAACTAAGTTAAATTTGCAAGCAAACTAAGTTACTGTGAGTCTGCATCTAACCTACCATTTTCATGCGTCCCAAGTAGCACAAGAGCGTTCAGGAGGACGTTCAACCCGGCTCAAATATGTTTTTTGACGCTCAGGGTTTAGGGATGTGCAGCTTTGAATGATAGATGATGATCTGTATCATTGCTCCACGAAGGTAGATCCACGTGGAGAATGCCTAAATTCTTCCATAGAGATAGCAAAGTTTCCCTTCTCTAACTCTTTCTCCACACGTATCTCCGGCGTAGAGGAGGAACTGCTCGTCTGATGTCGATACTGTATATCAGAGAGATTTCTGCGCAAGAAAAAAGGGAGGATTCCCACCTCTCGCGATTACCGGAATAGTAGCATTTCCAAATGGGGAAAGGAAATGCGCTCCACAAGAATAATTGATTACGGGATTGCCTATGACCCCTGTCACGAGAGCAGATCATTACTTCGGACGAATGCAACCCTTTAACGTTGTTCGGGAATATTCAATTTACATCCTGGATATAAGTACAGGGAATGACTAATTTGAACTGTTTTTGAACGTTTTGAACTTCGAACATTTGAAGAGTCAATAGAACGTTTCAAAAGACGTTCAATACACGCTGGCAGTATCTTTAACGGGACTTTCGTTGAACATTAAATCTTCCGGTGCTACTTGTGATTCGACCTGCTGTGATCACGTGACTGACTTGCTGTAAAAGGTGCTTTTTCTTGAAGCTGAACTTCAATGCTACCTACGTCTTGTATGTGCAGTAGGATATTTTTCGAACAAGTTGAGATTAATTTTCCCTGCAACTTATCAGCTGCATTTGTATCCAAGTACTTGCTGTGAAATTGCGTGCAGCGGAAATGAGTGGACCGAGAAAACAACGTGATACAGCACTGCAGTGCTAACTGGAATTACGCCCCATATCTACAGCTGAACCTAGTAATGAAAATGGGCAAAGCCTGAATAATGATGGAAATAATTATGATCATGATGAGGGGAACAAGACGCATGACGGCTGTGACGTGTGGGAGAAGCCAGGGTGTTGCAAGTCCTGTGTACACGTGCAGAATCTCATGCCTGTGTTGATTGCATGAACATCTAGACTCTACAAAGTAATATACAGGGCGGCTTAAAAAACCTAAAACCTAGGCTTTAAAAAATTTAACATTTTTATTCTTAAAGATTGACCAGCCAAATTTATTGGAGGCACACTCCAATCTACGAGGGTCGGTACGAAAGTAATGCCTCTTAAATTTTTTTCTTGAGACTCATATATAGGAGACCGTCGAAAAAATTGCTAGATAAAGACTTCTATTTGCTGTCGTTGCTGACTCAGTTTTCCGGAAAGGTATCAGTTGGGAACACCACCGCACCTGTTCAAAATGGCTGCTTCACTCGATGCGCGTACAAAGCAGATTGCTATCAAATTACTGACTCCAGAGGGAAAATATTCATAGGCGACTGGAAGAAGTTAATGGGATCTCTACCGTTGATATGAGCACAGTGAGGGGGTGGGAAAGACAGGGTCAAGAGTGGAGAAACCGACTTGAAAGACAAGCCACACAGCGGTCGCCATTATACAGTGTTTTACAGGGACGGAATACTTGTCTTTCTTGAGCGCTTGGAAGAGTCTGTTGAACGCGATGGGAACTACATGGAAAAATAGCCATATATATAAAAGGACTTGATCTATTTTCCAGTCGAATTTCTAATAAAAACGAACTTTTCAATAGCTCTTTTTTTAGGGGTTCGTAATGAAAACATGGCTGGGAGCATAATTTATACCGAAAGTTAATTTAACACCAATGTAGACCTTTCTCCTAACACCTCTTTGACTTGCTGGCTTGTTGATGTTGTTATGCACAAGGACCACTTCCAAAAAAGTCGGCATCAGCAGATGGCAGGCGGTTATGATACTCGGTTTCTTCCATTTCACAATAGGCAGAAAGCATCCTTACCACATTGTTGCCTGTACAGTACATAATTTGCACTCTCAGTTTCTGGGAACAAAATTAATTTTTTTTTAAATTCCGACCCCACTACGCTCTTTCGAAAGCGTTTTTCAATTCTTTATAAAAGATTTTCTCCAAAATGCCGGAGTAAGACGCTCATGCATACTGGAGGGCAGTGGTTGATATCTGGTGCAGTCAAAGTCAGACATATCCATACCCAAATCTCTGAACTCCTTCATGCATGCCTCTAATGGATCAAAATCGTCCTTCAGGTTCTCAGCAAATTTTGCTTTCTCCTTTGCATCTAGGAGGTATTTGATCCTTAATTCGAAACCAGCTTTGGCTTCTCGTTTTTCGCTTTCGATCAAAAGGTCAATGTATTCCGTGATACCAAATGGATCGGGCTTCAGGGCAATCTTTTCGAGCTTCTGCAAGCATTGGTGCGCTTTATTAGTCAACTTCAAGACGTTGGTCCTCTCAACGTTGAAGTCCTTGATAAGTTCGTTCAGAACAACTTTGGCATTCAGCCGCTTCCCAGATGCTTCCTCGTACTTCTGCTTCAAGTCTTTATAGGTATGTTCTTCCTCTTCCTCATAGGTTTCGAAGCGATATGAGTTGTTGACGTGTTTGTTCCACACGCACTCCTTGAAACATACCCTACAACGAGCGGTCCCTTCTATAATGCGCATTGCAGCACACCCAGCCTTGTCTTTGTTATTTGGTCTGGAACATGGATAATGGCAAGTGAAGTTGCAATTAAGGCAGTTCGTCACGTACGTTCCCGAATCTAGGTTCACCTTTTTGTGTTTTGGAACCTTGACTGTGTAATTGAAATTCTTGTTAGTATCAGCCTCTGCTTCGTGCTGTTTCAACGCCAAATATGTTTGCCTCACCATTTCTGCCCTTACCATAGCTAGAAATATAAATTCACAGATAAAACAGTACCGGCTATAAGTATGTGCATTGATTCAAAGGAGAAGCGCTGGATTGTCATTTCTCACCTGTTTTAATTAGCGGCAAAATCCCCTGTAGTGCCGCCTCTAAGTGTTTCCTCTCCTTCAGGACATCCTGAGTCAGAGTCAGACTCACAGGTTTCGTCTCAAGGAAATCCTTGAAGAATTTCTCAAAGTTTGATATTCCCATTTTCCAAAAAAAGCTGTTCAAATCCTCAACATCGGGCTCATCTGACGGTTTGACGAAAAATGCAGAATTTTCTACTTTGAAAGAGTTTCTGCTCGGAATTTTAGCGCCCTTGAGGGCAGTTAGAACAGGAGGCTTCTGGCCGTCCGCAAAGGTAGTCAGCACGTAGATAATGTTTTCAACATCTTTCCCAAATACGGCCAAGATCGCGTTAAAGATGTACATTTGAGTGGGAGTCAGCCTATGCAGGGAGGCCTGTACAACGAAACAGATTCCATCAAGCTGACCTACTCCGATGTTCCCACCATGGGAAAAGAATTCGTGGATCTGAATCCTCAACTCATCGTCTGCCTTGATCCCTTCAATATCCCCAAACCCAATATGCTACTCTCAGTTTCATGTCCCGTCTGCCTTAGGAAGGACAACCACATCCTGCATTCGGCACTAGGTGAAACAGACTGAGGATCGAAGCTCGGTTGCCAGGAATTAGTCGAACTTTGCCTTTCCCAGTTCCCACTTCACTCCGTACACGTAATTCATCATCCCATTGATGAGTGTAGTTTTGCCTGAGGAGGAAAAGAAGGAGCTCTGAAATTAAATGAATATACCGTAAACCTGGCCAAGAAGCGTTCATCCTGAAGGGGATTGACTTTACCTGCTCCTGTGGCTCCAACGAGCATAAGTACCTTTCCCGGTCCACATTTTGCTCCTCTCTCGCCGATCTCAAACTTGGCTAAACGATTTTTTGGATCTTCCATTATCTTCTTCTGGGGAAGTTCATGAATGAATCCGTCAATGCTTTTGCACTTCTGTTTCATCTTTTCAGCGAGCGTCATCTCTTCGTTGTGCCGTTCTGGTGCTTCCTTCAATTGGAAAAACATTCGCCCCCAAAAAACTTTTATTATTATATTCATCTCTTAGGTAATTTTTCTGGATTCCTGTTTTGAAGTTGTGGAAAACATTTCGGTTTTCCATTGGGTTTAAAAAAAATAAATTCCCAGTTCTCAAGTGATATACAGAAAGATGCTTCATATTTCAAGAGCGTGATGCTCTAAATGAAGCGAATTCTCTTATTATCTCGAGTGAAGAAACTGCATGGCTTACTCAAAAAGAAATATTCCAGACATTTTCCCCCTTACTATTGGGGACATGGTTCTGTAACGATAAATTGCATGTTTTGCATGAAGTAGGGATTTTGGAAGTTTCTACTCCTGATTTTCCAGGAGAGAATGGTAAAGGATACAATATCAATTCAAAGTTTTCTTGATGTCGAAAGTAATATTTAATGGTTTCCTGGTTTTAAGGCGACTGGTTCTTCAATAGAAGAACGGGATAATTGGAATTGAAATGGCGCGTACTGGTTGCTTAGTGAGTGCTATAGGAAATGCAAGTGGCGGTGTCGTCTGCAAATGTGAACGAATGATGATCTCTGAAAGCATAATGAGACCATGGAAGCTTATAACGGTGGTAATCAGGGGGTTGTGGATCACCCGGTTGAAGTGGATCAGTAGTAAGTTTTAATTTCTTATGAGATGAGGACAATGCTTCAGTTGCAATATTCATTCTTGTTAGCATTGGATGTAATGTTTCCCCCTCAATGGCTAACAGAAAGCCAGCGACATCCAGAATTATTTGTGGTTACTATATTTCTCTAAGTTTTTCTTCCGAATTTCCCTTGCAAAACATGGAGAATATTTAGTAACCACAAAAATCCTAGTTGTTGCTGGCTTTCTGTTAGCCCTTGTGGGGGAAACATTACTTCCTAATGCTAATATGAGAGAAGATTGCAACTGAAGCTTTTCTCGCCTCTTCTGGGAATTAAAACTTAGGACAGGCCCACTACACCCCTGATTACCCCTATACACGAGGTCTTAGCGGACGCCCAACCGGTCTAGGAGATCGAAGTCAAGAATACCCGGATGGTATTCTTAACATGCTCTAACTCTTTGTCATGCCTCAAATCAAAGACATGATTCCCAACATTTACTTTAAGCCGGATAGATCACCACCCCACTCTAGCATTGACGTTACGGGGTACCTGAATGAAACCTTTTCCAACCGATAAATTGAAAGAGAAGGGCCAATCCCATGGGCACCAAGATCGCTAAACATGAACTCTCTGGATATTTTCTTGCGGAGATATTTTGAAGACATTGTACAACTCGAAAATAACACATTTACAGTTTTCAAATTATGCTATAAATCTTTGAAGAAAGCATGGGCAGAGATTGACTTACATCTGTATGTGTGCAAAGCTTAAAAGAGTACAAATATTGAATTTTTTTAAAGGTAAGTTTAAACAGTGAAAACCTTATAAGCTTTGGCTACTGTCTGCTGCAAGCATGATATGGCTTCCTGAGTAGTTATGGATGTATAAAACTTTTAAAACCTTCACATTAGTATATATAAACACGTTATGGACAACGTGTTAATATATATAAATTCACTGTGTTGGCCAAAACAGGAAGCCTACTTCAATTCTGATATGAAATAACAATTTTCAATCGATTGACTTGAAAATGCAATCCAACGTTGCCTAACATGTTTTTTGAGAAATTGTGAATATGCGAAAATAATGATCCATACTTGAGTTATAGCAGATTTAGTGAAATTGTCGAAATTTTGAGCGAAGAACAATGTGACTTTCGAATTTCTGAGATTTTCCTGTTCTCATCTAATATTCACTCAATGTCCACAAAATTAGAGATACCTCACTAGTAGCGTGTTGGACCGCCTTTGGCCCTCAAAGCAGCATCAATTCGTCGTGGCAAGGATTCCACGAGGTGCTGGAAACGTTCTGCAGGTATCCCGGCCCATGCTGATAGCACAGCGTCACTAAGTTGCCGCTTGTTTGGTGGCAGTACAGGCAAGCCCCGTACAGCCCGTTCCACCTCATGGGTTTCTACAAGATAACCTAACTCTAGTCCCCTGACACGCCTGGTGTCCCCGCTTCATTTGAGGACCCGTACAAGGAGCGAATAGTGTGGTAAGTGCCATATGGGCACTTTGACTACGGGCACTTTGCCTGGCAGTTTGACGGTTTCCGCGATACTCAAACCAGCTATTCTGGCACCAACGACCGTTCCACGTTCAAAGTCGCTGAGGTCTGTTGATTTGCACATTCTGCAGTCAAAACACACACACTAAAGCAGGGCTGCCTGCTTTAGGTCACAACCTAACCTACCTGACCTAGGTTAGGTTATGCTGTAGCTGTATGGAAAGTTGAATGTAGGGGTATCTCTAATTTTGTGGACATTGAGTGTCTATAGACGATCGTGACAGACTGACTGACTGACTGACGCTAATTCTAACCATGTTCTAGAAGGGTTAGAAATCTGAAACTTGGTACATATGTACCTTTTGGGATGCAGAGCTCCGAAAAAATTCGACTTTGTAGGTACATGCCCTGGGGGGACACATTTTGGGGGGAGACGTCTTTCCTTAAATATATTTTGTGACTGATGAGGAGGGCATTCAGAAAGAACTACACCCCGGCTGGGTCCGGTGGTGTAGTAGTAGAGTATCTAACTGGCAATCAGAAGGTCAGGCTTCAATTCCGTGCCAATCCTTGGCTTTCTTTTGCCTTTATTTGCTTTCCATGTCCCGTTACTCATTCCCCTCCATTACATTACTTTTGCCTGAGTAAAACGGAGACATGGATTGCTAAAACCTGGCGTGGAGGTGCCTACCGAGACGATGAGTTCAGGAAAAATACAAATTTTTATATCCATGCCCTGGGGGCATATTGCTTTGAGCCGACGTTTTCAATTTTTTTTGTCCTTGCGTATTGAGCTAGTGTGGAAAGATGAAACTTGGTACATAACTACCTATTGCGATGCTGCAGAAAACTTCAGACTTTGGAAGTAAATGCCCTTGGCGGAAAAATTTCAAAGGGAGATGTTTTCAACTTTTTTTTTGCATCAGTTAAAGTGATGAACATGGAAAGCTAAAACTTTGCATGAATGTGACTATTGAGACAATGAGTTAAATAAAAATGTCAAATCTCGATACATCCCCTGGGGGAATTTTTTCGAGGTGCGATGTTTTGAAAAAAGAAATTGTCGTGGCGAATTGGACAGAAATGGAAAGGTGAAACGTGGCACACTTATAAGTGACATGCTATTTCTGAGCTGAGGGAGTATTCAACTTTCATGGTGCATCCCCTCCGGGCATAGCGTTAGGGTGAATGGGCTTTTCCAAACATGTTTTTTCACCAGCGAAAAGGGGAAACGTATAATATTGAAACGTTGTGGCCATGTAGTTCACTGAAGATGGATTTCGGTAAAAAAAAAAATGGTGGGTTTCGATTAAAACGGCTCAGGGCACATATTTTGCAAAATGCGTATTTTCACGAATTTTATGATCCAACAAAACAATGGGCGCTAAAAAGTTTTTTAAAAAACTTGCCAAATAAGGACCTGATGGATAGCTGCGTAAATAAAAAATTCTAATTTTATTATATGTGGACAATCGTGAGTAGATGACTGACTGCCGCTAATTTAAAAAGGGAAACGTTTAAGGCTGAAACTGGATGGCATGGAGTTCCCTAAGTCTCCATTTCAGAAGAAAAACATTTTCCGATAAAACCCATCAGGGCACTTTTTTTTAAATCCCATGTTCCTGTTTTTTTTTTATCCAAAGCAACAGAGACAGAAAATTTAAACTTCCCTCAGAAGTACCTGTTTAATGGCTGAGTACATGAAAAATCCTACTTTTGAAATATGTTTCCTTAGCGTAGATTATTGGCGAGAGGTATTTCAAAATGTATTCTCCACCCTTACTAAAAGGGACACAAGAATAGATTTAAAGTTAGGCACACAGAATCATAGAAGTAAAGAGTTTGATAAAAATCAAGACTTTCGACCCCATATGCCACGTATTTCAATGGGGACGTACTTTAAATACGTGTTTCCCATTTTGGAAAAAATGAATGAATTAATCACTATTTAAGGTAATGGTGCGCCAAAGGCGCAACCATAGCGAGTTTCTTTCCCCGAATGGCAAAGAATCTCGGAAGTATGATTATAATACTGGCCGTGAGGAAGTGCTTCTCTGAACTTGCATGGAAATATGCAATCCGGGTTAACATGAACAAGGGTTTGCCCATGCAAGTTCAACCTGCACGCCGTGATGTAGTGATGTAGTTGAAATTAACCCAGCACGATTCGGCCGGTCAAGTTGAACTTGCATGACAGGGTCAACTTGCATATGACATATACATGAATCTTAAAATTGCAAAAGCAAATATGAATTCATATTTTCATTCGACGTTCCTTCCTCATTCTCAATCTTTCTCAATCCTTCCATTCTCAATCCTTCCATCTTCTCAAATCATTGATCAACTCATGTGAATTGGAATGGGGTTCTAATGAAATACATTTCTTCAACTGGAGGAGTGAAGAATCTTGAAATCAGTGCACATCAAATTTGTCCACCTACCTCACGACGAGTGGGCATCACAAGGCCTCTGTTCAAGGTCAATATTTTCGTCAAAGATTTTCATTCATTCCCCCTAAGGTAATTTTTTATTTTTAAGCTACTTATAGGCATGAATCTTTCATCTACGTCTGAGCATCTTAGTAATACTCGCGAAGCGAAATGGCCTAACGTCTTCCTGTCGCATGTCACTTTCTCATGCCAAAAAGAGATTTGAACTTTCTTTCGTAGCTTACATGAATCCCGCTCAGAGATCGAGCTTCATCCCAGGTTGCCCAGTGGGAAGAAAGTGAACAAAATCTCTTCAAATACATTCGAACCGGTGAGCGTCATGACATCATATTCGTTATCATGCTTTCTTCAACACTTTAACCCTATAAACAAATCAGTTATACATGCCAACCCAAATACGTGTGGTGATCAATAAGTTCTGTACACAACGTTTCACTTTAAAAAGGAACAAAAAGCAGCGGAAAATTAAGATTACATCTCCTTCAATATACTCCCTCTCGTTCTAGGGAAGGGATATCACAATTACAAGGTAGTAAACAACAGTTCCTCCTAAAGTAAAAGCTTTGCTCAGAAAGTATACATCCGAGTATTGCCAATGACTCAAATAATAGGCAATTGATATTTGTAATGTGGAAATTGTCAGCATGGCATATAAAAATAAAAGAATCACCAATGAAAACCTTAAATCACGAGTGTTCAATATGACTTCTACCATTTTCAACGACTTGGAGAAGTCTTTCTTCGAATGCAGGAGACGTCTTTCAATTATCTAAGGTCCTACTTCGGTGAAGGTATCTCTAACAGCCTGTTTGAGCATATCTAGGTTGTCATAGAAAATCACAGACTTCCCCTCCAAATTCCGCCACAGACCTTACGAAAATCAAGGGACTGTTCCTCATAGGCGTGTGGAATTTTATGCGTCGAAATTTCACAATTTTTTTCATGCACGGGTTCATCGAAGTGGAACATCTTTTCATTATCGACCATAATCAAGCCGAGATCAGTATAGCCTATAGAATAATGAAGTCATCCAAGAAACTGACAATCCCATGTGATGCAAGAAAAAACCACGAATAAATTGCAAAACTCAAGGTGGACTTGCGAATTCCAGAAGAGAGTGTTATATTTAAATGCTATGGTTGCATGGTTTTGGTATTGAGTCATTCCAACTCAATTGATTATATTTTAGCCATTTTCGAAGCGCTTCAGTTCTCAATTCGCTTGGAGATTTCTCGTATGTAATGTCCTACAGAAGTTACGGAAGATCTCCAAATCCGGGCGCTTTGTCTGTTACGGTTCTCGAGGAATGCTATCCTAAATATTACACCAGAGAGGAAAGGTGAACTTAGGGATCAAATATTTATCTTTCTCTATAGTTAAGCGGGAAAGGCGTTCTTTGACTCAGAACTGAGATGATGTAGATTCAGAATATTGACTCTTTTATTATCAATATCCTACAAATAAAGTTTGAATTTTCAAAAACATGAACAAGTGTCCAAAATGTGCATGCTAATTTTTGATAGTGGGAATGATGGCAACTCAGAGAGTTTAGGGGATGGGAAAACAAATGTAAAATAACTTTCACTGGAGACCAACCTGCCGACTGTGGCTGAAAGCCGCGCATCCGCATTAGAAGGAGAAGAATGCATCGTTTTAGGAATGCGTAATGATAGAATGACAAAATGTCGCAAAGAAATCGCAGTGTTGTCTCTAGTTTCCTTAGGTCACTGCGAAAATAGCAGATAAAAACCACCCCGCAAATGAATCACAAGCTATGATTATTGCTCTCTCTGTGCGAGTTCCTCAACATTACTACTCTCGAACGCAATTTGTGATACTTGATGTTCAACAAAGGACGTGCAGATAGGGTGAGGTATCCTTTCGGTCTGTCCTCTGCCGTCTTCACTATGAAACAACATTTATAGTGTGGGGGAAGATAAACTCAAGTTAGATTAAACTTAGACAAAAATGAATGTATGTGCTTTCCTATAACACTTAAATAGAGAAAAACGAATCCCAAGGACAATGAAAACGAAACAAATGTGCCAATGTAATGTGATTTACAATACAAAACATACGTAATGAAATGGTTATATTCACTGAGTGTAGGCCATGTGAATAAGTGCTTACTGGGAATTCATTACGACAATTTTTCTTTCACTGTCATAATAAACTAGGTAAAGACTCTGGAAGAACATCTCAATGAAGCATTGACCAGATGTAAGGAACTTGAGGAGCTTCTGAAGCGTGAACTCTCCATGCGTCAAGTTCTAGAGGAAAAGCAAAGCAAGATCGAAACGGAGCTACAGGAAACAAAATCTCAGGTCTCTTATTTCATACCCTCATCTTTCGCCAGGTATATTCCATTTGCATTAGCTCTCTTCAGATCTAGCTCAAATTAGAGTGTGCCATCCTTTTGCTTGATCGGCTGTACTGAAGAGTTTTAGGGTAAATGGGATGCCTCACTGATATCATTCTAAGGGATTCTAAGGGAGGTCTCCTCTATTTAGGGCAGAGCAGCCAGAAACCCTCAGCATTAGCTAGATGGCTAGGTCCCTCTGCAGCATATTTCTTTTCGCCTCTTGCAATGGTGCCAAAATGTAAAAACGACAAATTTAGTACTAAATATTAAGTAGAAATGTAACCATGAAGGTGCCTGGAAATGTGCAAATCGATCCATCTCCTATATATTTATTTTACTAATGTAGCCACCCAGAAGAGATTTTTTAAATATATGGCTGCAAAGGAAGTAATTGTTAGAATGTAGTGTTACATCATCTTAATCTAGAGAAAATTTCATCTGTCATGAACGGAACAATTTACGGTAAATTAGCAATCAAGCAAGTTCATTTCACTGAATAGAAGGTTTTGAGTAAGATTGATTTCTCTGAAACACGAGAATAAAATTTTTGTGATAAATATCCCCTGGAAGACACAAGACAACTAAAGGCCATTTGTGCTTTCACAGGCAAGTGATTCTTACGCAAACCCCAACTTTTCGCATTCGCTTCTTATCACGCAAATTTAACTGACAGCTTCAGTAGAAAGCCAGTGTACGAATCTACCATTCCACTGGCAACTGTACAGATGGTCATTTTAAGCAGCGTATCGTGTAATTAATCGTCATGGACCGTCAATTATTGTGACGGTAATCATTTGGAGATGGAAAGAGAGTGGAACAAGCATTTCACAAGTTCTACAGCAACCCTTTCTCTGCCGCCTCGTGCAGTAGGTCTCCACGGTTTTCATCTAAGGGTGAGGAATGACTTCCTCTCATCCACCACCATCGTCACTATCGTGAAACATCATTCATACCGTTTGAAAGCTAACCTCATGTAAATAAAATTTATTTTCAAATTGATAACCACTTCCGTAAGGCTCTTAAATAATAAAACATATATTTTGAAACAGTCGCAGCGAAACAAATGCGCCCACGTGAAATGCAGCTTCTAATACAATAAGACTCTAATGTTTATAATCTTTTCTCTTTTGGACGGCAGTCATGTTAATAAGTGCTACTAAGAATTCAAAATTATACTTTTTTATTCATTATCATGATGAACTAGGTGAAGTTGCTGGAGGAACAGCTGGCTGAAGAGAGAGCCACACGGTATGAAATAGAGGAGCGTCTCAAGAATGAGCTCTCCATACGTGAAGAGCTAGAGCAGGAGAAAAGCAAGGTCGAATTGGAGCTTCAGAATATCAAAACTCAGGTATCTTACTCCGTACCATCTTCTCACGCCAAGAATGATCATTCCCTCTTCGTAGAACTATCACAAGTTTGGGTGTGTTGTCCTTTTCCTTGTACAGGAAAATTTAAAGGAGATATGGAATCCCCTCTGACAGTATTTAAGGATTTAATTCGAAATTCCCGTTAGGTCGGCTCTATTTCGGGTTGATGCGCCAAATGCCTGACCTTGCAAACGAAACGTCAAGAATATCATTCAAAGCATATTACATCATATATGGTAAAATGGGTGGTTTTCGCGCGATGAGGGGGATTTCGCGGAATGCTCATTTCTCGCACGTCCCCCAACGAGAGGCCTATAGTTGACGACAAAGCTATATCCAATGAGGACACAGGAGATTCCAAGTACGCGCACGTGAAACTTCCACCTGCTTACGCTCACGCCTGTCATGGGCAGGGCTGTTTGCGCGATAGGCTACCTCCGTTCCTTAAGATACGACCCGTTTCGCAGGAAAATTGAGATCGCTTTGAAACCTGGC